TATTTTACGCAATGTGTATGCACTACTGTGTGTACATGCAGTAAAAAAATATACAGTATATATGTATGCCTGAGTGGGGGCGGTCGTCCCTTTTGCCCCCCCTCTGGATCCGCCATTGTGTAAACCAATGTAAACTTGAAAAAGTTCAGATGATTGACAACAAAATTCAGCACAAACTAAGAAATTTGAAAATATTAAAGGACGACGGGTAAGCTATATCACCCAAACCTGCAAAAGGCACATCTAGTGGATATGAGCTTTAAATTGATACCCGCCTATAAAAATAAATAAACACGAAAATCCAACAAACTCTTTTAGTAATATAGATAAAATTAGTAATTTTTACAGGGTTTGGAGTAAACACTACAATAGTAAATTTTAGCAAAATTTTCTTTGCCGTTTTTGTGTAAAATTTTTGGTTATTTTAATTGGAAAATCACTATTAATAATCAAAGATTATAACATAAAATAAAAAAGCCGGAGTTTACCATGGATTAGTACCAAACCATTCACATTTAATTAAAATCGGACCACAGGTCTAGTCTGTAGCTCCATACTGTACTCATCTGCAGACAGACATCACTTTGAAAACAACTTTCTGGGTTCAAGGGACCCAAAATGACCTAAAACGGAGAAAAATATGCCCAAACTCAAAAATGTTGACGAAAACAAAACTTTCTTTATAAGCTTGTAAAAATATGGGGAGAAAATAACCGAAACGGTAAAGATTCACTTTCCCCAACTCACCTATAACGTTCTATAAAACGTGTTTAAACTGTTCCTAGACACCAACACTACAACTTTCTTAAATGGTTTTTTTGTTGCCAAGGATTTTTCTGTTGACACCACCCCTCCTAGATTACTAGACACCACACCTGAAAAACTCGCGACAGGGTAGTTTCCTATACTAGACACCTCACCAAGATTACTAGACACCATTATCTGGATTAACCCAACCTAAGCTATAATCTGGGTGTGGTCGTGGTGTCTAGTAATCTAGGTAATGGTGTCTAGTAATCTAGGTAGTGGTGTCTAGTATTCTAGGTATGGTGTCTAGTACAGTAATTTGGGCTTGGTGTCTAGTAATCTAGGTGGTGTCAAGTAATCTTGGTATTGGGGTCTATTAATCTGGGCTGGGCAAGGTGTCTAGTAATCTTGGTGAGGTGTCCAGTAAAGTAAACTGACCTGTCACGATGTTTAAGCGATTTTTTGAGGGGTTGAGTCTAGTAATCTAGGCGTGGTGTCTACAGGAAGGCGAACAAACATTTGTTTGAGAAAGTTTTAGTGTTTGTGTGTAGGAACAGTTTAAAAACGTCTTATAGGACGATTTAGGTGAGTTAAAGTACCTATTCATTATTGATTACTCTCAATAATTGCACAACTGAAATTTTTGTCGATAAACTAACAAATTACATTTTGCCTGCATTTAACAAAAACCAATCCCAAATGATTTTATATCAGGAATTTTTTACAGATTTAAATAATACAGAAATGCTAACGTTAAGTAAAGCATGGCCAAGTTTTGTTCAGCTTTGTTATTGTGAAATCACAGATTAGATAAGAAGTGGTAATTTGATTTATTCTTTGATCAAATCTGTACCTATGCTGGTTGTGAAAGTCTCAAGTAATTGTTTTATCACCTTACAAATGAGTTCAGTTATATGATTTTGATTTGAATGTATAGTAGGCCTATATAACAACTGTGCATAGCATACACTACAAAACTAAACTATAACAATTAGTAGGCTACATTTATTAAGGTTACGAAATTTACCTGCTTTCAATTTGGCTTTGGTGCGAACCATGATCAAACAGATAGCTGACAACGTAACTGGCTTCCACAACAATATGGTTCTGCAACAACAGCTGATTTATGACAAACGTTGAAGATTACGTAGAAGGAACTTGCCCAAAAGAATGGTGATGACTGACACTGATTGTGATACTGTGTTCGTGCCCGTGTTGGGAGGGGCGGGGGGAGTGAAAATGTGTTGCGTCTGCGCTAGTTATGATAGTGCGCAGTGGGGTGCCAAATAAACAGCTGTTTGTTGATAACAGTTTCATTGAATGCAACAGTGGCAATGCAGAGTCGCTTGGTCACATCCTCATTCGTTGACAACCCATTGACTTATGTACAGTAAAATAGACATTACGTCTATGTGGACTATCTGTAGCAAATGATTAAAAAAGAATAAAGTTTAGTAAGCCACTCATAAATTACGCTACTGTAGAAATTGTTTTCACCTAGGCCATTTCATAAAACTGCCTACGAACGCTACGTTTTGAATGTAATTATTTTTCTTTGGCTTAGTTTTACTAAGGGAAGGGATTTGGATCGATTGTTGACATTTATGAAGGAATCAAACGAAAGAGTGTTTTATACAAATACAGTATATTTCAAATGTGGATTTTATATATATATTGGTTTACTCCGCCATTTTAAATGAGGGGCTTGAGAGCTAGTTAGTTTGTCCATATTTAGTTTAGAAAACAAATAATTCACTTTTTCGCCGATATTGTTATGTGTCCTTACGTAGTATTTTATTTACTTCATTTCACTCATGCGCTGCGGCATATTTGAATTTTGTATAGTTGTGAAACAGAACCATACGAAGAGTAAATTTTTATAACGCGTGTCCTTTGAATTAAACCATATCATATCAGATCCTGTACCATTTACCGCTTTTAACTAAATAGAAAAGGTACGAATATATTCAAGAAAATTGTTTTTAGGACGATGAGAATGAAAAATAAAATAGTTCCGTCCATTTGCTTATCAATGACCAAATTAAAAACATTGATTGCCATTTAAATAACACTTAAGGTAACAACTTTTTCTCAAATAACAACCATGTTTCCAATAATGTGTACAGTTTCACCATTAAGCAAAGGTAAGTTGTCATGCAGAGACGATTTATTTTATTCACAACCTAATACCAAACGAAAGAACTCAAAGGGTGGCTACATATCCTAGTTTTATCCAAAGGCGATTAATCTTATCTTACTAATATTATAAATCTGAAAGTTTGTGAGTTTGTGTGAGTGTTTGTTGCTCAATCACGCATAAACTACTGGACGGATTGGGCTGAAATTTGGCATGATGATAGCTCACATTCCCGATTAACATTAAAGCATATTATTATCCCAAAAATCCTTTCGGGCTCCGCCCCAGTGGCTCTGTAGTTCCCCATGTTAACCTTATGGTTTTTCATATTTAAAAGGAATTAATGAATCTTAACAGCTGTTTCAATTAAACAAGTTGGTTCTGTTCTATGATGTTCAATACTAATATTATAAATCTGAAAGTTTGTGAGTTTGTGTGAGTGTTTGTTGCTCAATCACGCATAAACTACTGGACGGATTGGGCTGAAATTTGGCATGATGATAGCTTACATTCCCGATTAACATTAAAGCATACCCTAGTGAAAAAATCCAGTTACTGGCCAGGTTCTGGCCCAGGTTCCAGAATTGGCAGGAACCTGGGCCAGAACCAGAACCTGGCCAGTACTGTTCCAGAACCTGGTCAGTACTGTTCCAGAACCTGGCCAGTACTGTTCCAGAACCTGGCCAGTACTGTTCCAGAACCTGGCCAGTACTGTTCCAGAACCTGGCCAGTACTGTTCCAGAACCTGGCCAGTACTGTTCCAGAACCTGGCCAGTACTGTTCCAGAACCTTGCCAGTACTGTTCTAGATCCTGGCCAGTACTGTTCCAGAACCTGGCCAGTACTGTTCCAGAACCTGGCCAGTACTGGTCCAGAACCTGGCCAGTACTAGTCCAGAACCTGGCCAGTACTGTTCCAGAACCTGACCAGTATCAATCTAGAGCCTGGTTAGTACTGTTCCAGAACCTGGCCAGTACTGTTCCAGAACCTGGCCAGTACTGGTCCAGAACCTGGCCAGTACTGGTCCAGTACCAATCTAGAGCCTGGTTAGTACTGTTCCAGAATGTATTGGTTGTTTGAGCTTGCGAAGACAACACACTTTTACATGAGAATGATGTGAAAAAAACATAATTGTGTTAGTATTTTATCACGTCTTTCACATTTTCTCAAATTAAAATACAGTAACGTTTTTGTATCCATAGTTTTTTGTATTTTACGTGAATAAGTCTTTAAATAAATTTACCTTTTTACATGAGGGAAAGGAATTTATCGATGGGTTTTCCAAAAAATAAAATCTGTATGCTGATATTTTTACGTTATGGGTACATGACGATTGTTTATGTTATTTCCATTTATATAACTCTTTTGTAGAAAATGATTGTAAAGGGTCACTCTTGCCTTACACTTTCCAATCAGACAAATACTGCCATTATCTTATCACAATTTCCACTCTTTTCTACTTACTGAAGTCAATGGTAAGACTCATTAACTTTATATAGGCCTAAACCATGGTTATTGATATGAGCATGTTTACTTCTTACTGAAATGGTTGAGGACCCCATAATTCTGCATTTTATGTAAGATTAGGTACTCAATTACAATAGACACTGTTATAATAAAAAAAAAAAAAAACTTATTTGTTATTTCCGTGCTATTCAAACCGTCACACGAAATTAAAATAACCAAATATATATTAGTCTTAATATTAACAAGAATCTCAATCATACCTATTATCAGACAACTTTACGGATTGTTACACAATTTTTAATTAAGGTTAACTAACTTTTTAAAATATAACAATATTGATTGTTAAATTAACAAATTTCTATTGAAACTGTTGGTAAAGATGGCTTTAGGCCAGCATTTTAGGGATTTTTATATAGGCCTATACATTTTAGGCCTACCTTAGTGACAATTCAAAAGACAATGCACGATTTAACATAGGATTATTAGGTCTGCTAGCTCCTTTGTTGGTAAAAGAATTATTATTTGTGAATTTTCTTCTATTTTAGTCAGCAAGGTAATACTGCTGTTAAATTGATCATCCATTACGAAATCTTTAATTTTGTTAATGTTTTTCTATATTTGAAAAGTTATCTCACTAGCAAATGTGTAGGCCTTAATCAATAGTCAGCATTACACTCCAACATGTATGTATTTAAAAATATTACATTAGATCTTTGCACTTATAAATGATAATGAATTTTAAATACATAAAGATTATCTAAAGATTGAGTCCATGAGCCATTTATGGGATGCAGTCTTCGTCCTCCTCAGTCGTTTCTCTCCTGAAAAAAAGTAACATTATATTATTAACATTGAATATATTCAACTGGTATTGGATGTAAATTTTTAAGAGATCACTCATAAACAGATGTCTTATTCTAAAGCACAATCACTTGGCTTCTTTCAATTTACTGAGCCTTTTTTTGCCATTAACTCCTTAAACATATCATTTTGCTTTGGTTGAGAAAATGTTGCAGTTTCCAAAACAAAAAAAGTGTTGGTTATAATTTGTTTGTCAATATTAGTTTTGATATCTTAGAGGGATTGGCTATGTGCAAATAAATAAGGCATCAACTCTGTAAGGCAAAATGAAACATTTAGGCTAAGTTTTTACATTTTGCTTTGATGGTCACTGACATCATCTATTAATCAATCATTTGGTATCAAATTACCTTGCTTCCTACTTGCTAACAATTTGATTTCTTGACGGTCTTAGCCAATCTTTTATCACCGTCATGATGTCTTTTTCTTTGGCCTCTGGAAACTGGTTGAAAAACAGCTTCTGTAAGAAATAACAAGAAGTTTGCTATTATTAAGTAGGCTATGTAGCACTAGTAATGTGTCAAAATCTAATCTCAAAACCACCAAAACTTTGAAAAAGGTTTCAGCTTGAAAAAAGGTTCTATCAGCAAGTTTCTAGATTCAAAACTTTAAATGGGGGAAGACAGACAAAAAGAAATTAAACCTTTGACAAGAACTTCATGCAAATTTTTTTTAACTTTAACTTTTTGCAATCTCATGTAACGACAATTTGACGTTGGGAATAAATAAATTTGATTGAATCAAAATCAGCTTAATATATTTCTCAATGCTGTAAAAGGGTCTAAAAATCAACCATAATAAAGCTTTCCCAGATCTACTCAATGCTTAAATAGGGTACAGTACACAAAACTCGGCATGGTACAATAAGGCGCTTCGACAAGCATAACCCACGCACATAAAATGTGCCGCAGCGGGTCTGCCTCCGATTCCCATTCAATTATCACAAATTTCAAAAGTATAAATACAATAACCAAGCTATGTAGGGCCTACATAAATTTATTAACAACATAAAATTTGTTCTAGCCTAAGTACTTTCAGTTAAGAAGTAAACAGGCCTAGAAAAATCCATACCGCTGGAGAAACGTAACGGATTTTGACGCAAATTGGTTAGCTAGAACTTAACATTAACTTAGGCCTATACTTAACATACCGTAATGAATAAATTATTGGTAAGATAGGCCTATCAGTCGAGAAAAATGTAACCAATAACTTACTTATCCTATAAAATATGTAATAGGCCTCGTCCATAGCGTGACAATAAATACGGTAACAAATTAAGTTATTCTAGCCTAGATAGGAATTGGTCAAACAAATACGTTAGATAGGAGTACATTTTCGGTTTGTTGGAAGTTATTTTTGGTAAGCTAATGCTCCCTAGCCTAAGTTTGATTTACTGCGCTTGGCTGGATTTTATTTTCATCCTACCTAGCAGTAGCCCAACTTATGCCTAAGGAATTTATTTTATGAAATCAACTATCCTTTAATGGCATAAGAATTATTTAGGTAGGGCCTAACAATTGAGTTACGGTAGACTATTTAAGATAGTTAACTTGTAACCTAACTTTTAATCTAGGCTTTGACCAAGGCTGACTGCATAGGTTTAAGAAAATGATTGTAGTAACTTAATTAAGTTAGGTATATTCCTATATAGCCTAGGTTATTAAAATTTGCAGATTTGAAACTGTGGCCAATGATTCACCTAAGTAAGGTTAAAAAGTTATATCGCATTAGGACATGCAGTAAAACGTTAGGACTCCGTTCAAGTAAAAACCGAACTTTCAAAGAAAGCCCCATCAAGGCTATAGGCCTACTAACAAATGCACTAAGATTAAATCCAATGCAACTTTGTTAGGTAGTGTACAAACTTATAACTGTAAGCCAAAGCCTGACTAACTCATTTTAGGTTAGTTTTCTATAAGTAAGTTAACTTTACCTACTTATTGTACCGGTTTATAACTTAACCTAACTTTAATCAGTTTAAAGTAAGATTAGATGTTGCAGAATTTGTATTGAACCTAATTTTTGATGTGTAACTCACATGAAACTTATGAACTAAAGTAGGCCTAGGCCCAATGTTGTTTTGAATTCCTTACCTTGGTTTGGGAGACAGCCTCTTCAATAACGATATTCTTTGGTGAAAGAAAACTAAAAAATGAAGGTAAACTACCTAACAACATAAATCTTAGGCTACTAATATAATATTGATACGATTATACACTAATACATTTTAATTTTAAATGTAAAGGACTAAGTTATACTTTTGCAAAGTCGAGAGGTTAGGCACAACAGCCAAGCAAAGATGGCGACGCCGATCTTTTGACAGTTGGACAGTTGGAACAGAAAAACCAGTCCCCTCCACAGCCAACACGCGCATAGAGCCTGTCATTACCTCATTCTGGCGCAAAAATTCTTTTTTTAAATTGAAATCTTGCTAAATTTTTCTAAACAATAGTTAGTTATTTTAATCAATCTTTTATTTTGGTTTTTAGAGATAATTATTTAAAAATAAACTGTATCCAATGACACATACTTGTCCTTTGTATGGGTATGTGCATTGACTATTTAAATGTGGTAGTAGTAACTTTAATATTTTACAGGAAAAAATCACAAAAGTTGCAATAAATATAAACCCTAATTTTCACAACACTGAGAGGTTGCACCATTTTAATTTGAATTATAAGGACCCAAATATACTAATTTTGATAAATATATATAAAAAAAACACAGTTTTCCTCTATAATATATTATGGAAAAAATAACATACAAGTTACAGTAACTTTTAAGCCGTAATTTTACAGTAAAAGGAGTTGTAACGTTTTGTTCAGAATTTAAAGGGCTATATAACATACCTACTAGTTATTTATAAAAAAAAATTGAGCTATTTTTTTTGGAAAATAAGATTTTGCTATTATTTTATGGAAAAATCGCCATTAAAAAATAAAATTTCAAAAAAAAATAAAAACACTTTGAAAACCCGTGGTTTGGTAGCCTACCTACTTGCTGAATTTCATCACAATCGTACAACACTTTCAGTCTGTAGCTCTGTACAGATCCACACATTATGTTTTATGTCCTGGAAATACCTTCAAAATGAATAAATTAATCGTTATCAGTAATCTCCAATTTACCAATGTTAATAACTTGTAAATAACAACAAACACATGGACCAGAGGCCATAATCAGCCAAGAACACTGCCAGATATCAGCCCAGAACCTGGCCAGTATCAGAATCAGAGAATATAGTTTTATTGCCAAAGACGTACTGGGCTAAAGTCACTAAAACTATCAAGTAAAACCAGACCCATTAAAATAAAGATACAAACTTCAATATCAGCCCAGTACTCGCCAGAAACTGGCCAGTACCCTCCAGAACCTGACCAGTATCGCCCAGAACCTGGCCAGTATCAGTCCAGTACCTGGCCAGTATCGCCCAGAACCTGGCCAGTATCAGTCCAGTACCTGGCCAGTATCACCCAGAACCTGGCCAGTATCAGTCCAGTACCTGGCCAGTATTGCCCAGAACCTGGCCAGTATCATCCAGAACCTGGCCAGTATCGCCCAGAACCTGGCCAGTACTTGTCAGTACTGTGGCAGAACTGGTCAGTTCTGTGACAGTACTGGCCAGAACCTGGACCAGAAAATTTTTTTCACTAGGGTATTATTATCCCAAAAATCCTTTCGGGCTCCGCCCCAGTGGCTCTGTAGTTCCCCATGTTAACCTTATGGTTTTTCATATTTAAAAGGAATTAATGAATCTTAACAGCTGTTTCAATTAAACAAGTTCATCAATTGTTGTTTCTCCTTGTTGTTGTTTTTTTATAGTTTTTAATGATATATTCCTTTCAATTATTTGTGTTATTTCTATTGTTGATTGATCATCTTCTCGAATATTAATATCTTGTAATATAATAATTTGTAATATAACGGGATTGTTATTTATTTATATTGTTATGTATTATATTGTTATTTATTTATATTGTTATTTATTTTTATTGTTATTTATTGTTGATTTTTTTTATCGATTGTCTTATTGATTTTGTGTTTAAGCTGGAAACTTTTTTCGCTCATTTTCAAATGGCTCTGTAGTTGGTATGTCTGTATAATGCACAATGTATAATGTAATCTTGTTAAACCCACTTGTAAAATGGTGTTTGCCGTTTAATAAAAATGAAATAAAAATGAAAAGTTGGTTCTGTTCTATGATGTTCAATAGCATAAAAGTTACAAGGATTACCAACAGGGTGCAGCACTATTATTTTTTTTTAATTTATGACAACAGCTAATTTCCAACCAAAAGGTGAGTGAGCGTAGCGAACGAACTTCAACCTGGAGGCGAGTTAGCGTAGCGAACGAGCTAACCTGAAGGCAAGTGAGCGCAGCGAACGAGTTCCAACCTAAAGGTGAGTGAGCGTAGCGAACGAACTTCAACCAGGACGTGAATGAGCCATGCGAATACTTATGAAGTTAAACGGGGCAAAGCCCGCGGGTACAGCTAGTATTTCATAAATGTGGTGATAACTCACAGTCATTGTTGAACTATAATTGTGTTTACAAAAATGAGTCATCTTCACTGATGATATCTTATCTCCGTAAACATTTGATTTGATTTGACAAGAAAATCCAAAAAAACTTGTACTTCCACGGTAATATATAATTGTTCAAAAATGGTTATGATAAATACCCCCGCTGCAGCAAACCTGCAGACTAAGCGAATTCCCATTCGCCTGATTGGATTAACACTAAAATGTCTCCTTAAAAATATCACATTTATTTCCTATTTAGCATCTGTCGAGTACCTAGGTTTGCTGCAACAGGGAGGGTAAGACGGTTTTTTGTAAAATGTTAATAGTTTAGTATGAAATTAATGTATTTTCCAAATTCGATCAAAATATGCTCATAAACAAGCAAACTAGACAACAGTTTACAAATTTTCTCCATAAGAATAACATGGGAATTTTAAATTTATATTTTTTTGAATTTTCTCCCTAATCATTAGGCATACGGCAATGCTTCAATATACTAAATTATTTCTTTTTTTAAGCTCTGCAAAATGGTTGTGAAAGAAATTCCAAAATGTTATGTTTTTCCATAAACCTCTGTTCCTATAGTCCGATCATGCCGGTTCGTGAACTCGTTCGAATAAACGTAGATTTACACGTTTGTACAAAATTTCATCAAAATCTGATGATTTTGCTTGAGTTATCGCGCTAACGGACACATATATTGCTATACACTTAAGACGCCACATAGAGCGGCAAATTGTATTTTTCAAGTGAAGAGACTGGACTCACTAAATTGTAAATATAATTGTTTAATTTTTTGTTTTACGTTTGCCACGATTACTGGATAATGTGGCAACGTAGTTCCAAGTGAATGTATTATTTTGTATTTATTTGTTTTGTAGGAATAAACTCATTATTTCATTTCATTATTTCATTTATATAAATACAAAAACGAGATACGATATAAATACATATATATATATGAGTTTGAGCGGATGGTGTTTTTGGCTTCCAGGGACCTCAAAACGAAAGAGTAAATCGGTCCCAGGTCCAGGTCTTACCATGAGTACTACGGCAATAGCTTATTCCCTATATGAGAAATTTGGTAAAATCAGTTATTCTATAAATCACCAGAAAACAAAGAAAAACTCCTCACCAAATTGAGACATTACAGCACTGTACCATTTTGATTTGAGACAAAAGGACCAAGCAAACTAAATTATAATTAAAATAATTCTAGCAGTTTTTGAGAAAATTCTATTTTCCGTGATTTTGTGGGCTTTAAGGGAAAGTCATCATTAAAATTTCAAATTTATAAACTACAAATCAGCCACGTTTTACATACCAAATTTCATTAAAATCGGACCACAGTGATGTAGCCTGTAGCTCTGTACAGACCCACACACACAAAAACATCACTTTCAAACACCACTCTTTTAAGTTGTATAGGGGGAGAAGGTAAACACATTTTAAGAAGGTTAAAAACAGTTTAAACTGATTATATTCTAATTCATTTTGATGACCGCAGGATTGCGTTTTATGACAAATAATGGCTAAACATACTTCCTTCTCGTCATATTTTACTCAATATTTCTTTGCCCAAGGGTAATGTGTTGCCCAAAATACTCTAACTCACAACGCCGATGAGTCCAACGACTCAATGATTCATAGAATTTGAAATGTTGATCATGCAGGTTTGCTGCGTCGAGGGTCGCACGTGTTTGCGCCCCAGCAGCCACTTTTGACGTCGCCAGACAAAGTCAAGTATCACAACGTCATAGATTTACCACAAACCATAAACAAGTTTAAGAGCAATTCATTCGATAAATCTAGAGATAAGGCAATCTCATAATCCCCATACCTACCCAAGTGGTTATTAACTTTACCTGTAAAGGCAGTTCAGTGTTGGGTGTCTGTGTTTTGTGTCACCGACAAAAAAGTTGTTATAGATGTAGACAGAATAAAAATTTAAACTTAACAAATTTTAAAAGTCTGGTAAGTATCTAATAACTACATTCTCCAAATGACGAAAAGTACTGTGCAGACCTGTTTTTTTTTTATATTGAGAATACTAACGTGAACGTCTAGTCGACACATATATTAATTAAAAATATGAATATTTTTACTCTATTTGTTCAATGTTGTGTTTTTTTAGCTACACAATATTCACGATCCTCTAGACAATTTGAGGAATAGGAATTATTTTCACTCCATTGTTTAAGCAGACTAATAATTTATTCAATATACGGAATTTGCCATTGGAATTCTTCAATAAACAGTGTTTAACGATTTTGAAATTTGTACAAATAAGTAACGTAGGCCTATTATTATTTGTATTTGATAATACGTAGTATTATTGTATTAATTATTTAAGTGCCGAAATGAGAAGCTAAATATTTTACCACCACATCGTTGAGTAAGTAGAGAGTATTTAGTATTCAGGTTACAGACCCTGGATAATCTTTTAATTACCTTCTCAGTGTCACTACTCCATTGGGTTTTTGTATCAGCACTGAAGTTGACAGCTTTTTCATATAAAAGGAAAATACGTTTTTTTGCCGTAGTCATTATACCCACGGGCTTTCAAAATTGTCATTCTAATCGTATGAATGCACAGTTTTAATTGAAATCACTTGAACCCCTGTTTTACTTAGATTAAACAGGTGTAACAGCATACGTAAAATATAATTTGTAAAAGGACATACCAAGGCCTATTTTACAGTGTGAAAAACGCCTGTGTGTCCGTAGCATAACACAAGGCCGCGGTGAGACCAACGTGGCAACAGTTTAGGATTACGGTACTTTATTAGATCAAGACCACAGTGTTTCATATAACAATTGAACCCATCGTTTTGTAATGGTTATACGTTATGCGGTATTCATCCGATATGACCAATTATAAACTACTTCTGTACTGAATCATTGTTAAAATATTCCTGAACTTATTCATCTTAGTTAATTGTACAGGTCATAGTTTCAAGTACTGAACACGTGCCTCTTTGGGAATATTCCACGAAGGTAATCTTCAAAACACCAAATGTCAATCATTCTTTAAAAGTTATTGAAGCCATTCATTGTAGTGACAACAGGCTGAAACCTAGTAAATAGTTTGTATCAGTTAGCACATGTATTTTCATAGAGAAGTAAGTACCTTTTACAACTATAAAGGTGAAGGTCGAGTAATGATTTCGGAACCAACTGCAAATTTAATCTGCAACTTTTCTTGAAATGTAGCTTTTCTGTTTTTAAAGCATTTAAACAAGTTTTCCAAACTTGTTTCAGAGCATAAGTTTGAAATATGAGTAAGACTCCAAATGATTCCAAGAATTCTGTGAACAACGGCATAAATTTATTCACCACTTCGTCCAAGTAAGTGTCCATCTATTCATTAACCATTTCCAATAAATAAAGGCATTTTTATTTATTTATTTATTACAGTGTATTTGTGGTAATTTGTTAACATTATGTTTTTTATTTTTTGTTTACGGATGACTAAGGAAAATGGCAAAATTGTACCAAAACTAGTTTATCTAATGAACTAATGTTTATTTTAAAAAGTCAACGGATATGGATTTAAATTACTTTAACTCATAACTCATAACTCATTTATTGAACCAAAATAACAGATACAAAATTTGCATTGGTCATGTCAAATAATAGAACTAAAATTAAAATAAACAATAGACAATGTTGCTTCAATAAAACAATATCAATTACTTCTTACAACAAAAAAACTAACTAACTTTATTCTGGGTGTTTTTTAAACGCAACTTTCAAAATTAAAATTTAAAGTGCAGAGAGCCTATATTTACCGGTCTCTTTCTGTTAACGACTTTCTGGTCTTAAAAGAATACAGAGGCTACTTACCTCTGCTTACTCTGTTACTTCCTCTTCTTTTCGCCTTGAGCGCGGCGAAAAGAAATTATGTTTTAAAAAACTGTTACGAATTACAACACACTTTGCTTTGTTTAAATATCCTTTGTTAAACTTTTGAATTTAGGAAATTGCCAGCAGGTAACTCACGAACTTACGAATCCAAAATAGTATATTTTAATTACAGGGTGTCCAACCTAAAGTATTCCAACTTTTTATGTCTGACAGTAAACCTTTTATGGGGGCCCCTTTATTTTTTATGTTGCTTTTAGGTGTGTATTAAAGTTTTCTAAGTTTCCTGCCATTTTTCAAATATGGCCGCCAACTTTGGTTAGAGACATAAAATAAAAACGTTAGCTATTGGAACAGTTTAGGTTGATACCCTGTAATTTTCATTTTATCATGAACTACTTGTTGCCACTGGGCGGATACAAATTAAATACTTTTTACAGCGTTTATACCCTTGATTTTACAGGGTTCCTGGAACATTTAAACTGATTATTTTCTTTTGCAGAGCAAAGTTGGCAGGATGTGTGGAAATTGGACCTCACGACTACGAGCCTTTCCAACACAGAGACTTTGTCAACGGTCTCGGGTTCGTACCTAGCTCTCAGTAATAAAAATTAAAACATTTAAATATGATTAATAATATACATTTAATACACTAGGCCTATGTGTTTGATTCATTGTTTGGTTCATCTTCTTTTGTAACTCTAAGGCATCATAAATCATATTAAATATGTAATCAAACATACAATCTCTAAATTCAACTTTGGGTTTATTCTGTCCTGCAAGTAAACATTTAAATATTAACTATAGAAACTAAATCAAATACATACATATATAGTCAATGATTTTACAACGTTTTCGTTTCTCCCGTTTGGATGTTTATGAATATTTTTTAATTGGCTTCTTTATAGTCTCTATTAACTTAATAAAATGGTACATGTCTTATTCTAGTCTTTATAATAGTTTTCATACATCTGACTTTAAAATTTAAATTAGTTGTATTAATGTTAGTTTTATTTTAGGTTAATGATAGGCATTTTTTTTGGAAAGGGAATCACCCAATACAAAAACTGCAACAACACACATTATAATAGATTAAAAACAGTTTGAATAAAACATAACGAAATTAAAAACAGGTAATGCAATGCATGTTTACTAACAAAAGTATTTCGGTTCTGTTGGAATAATTGCTCTTAACAAAAACAGTGTTATAACTTTTATAAGAAGTCTGTATTCGAATAGGTATTCAAAATTGATTATGCTTTCAGTTTGATTTATTTTCAATACTATACACTTTTTCATAATTATTAAGAATTGTCGATTATCATACAGACGCAGGACACGAGTTGTTCTCAGCAACCTTAATTTGTTTTTAATATTTCAAGTAATCCAAGTTGGAATAACGAATGCATACTATTGAACATAAAAAAACTACAGTAAATCTAAGATCAAACGAGACATGCAGTAAAGCCGTTTAAGCGAATTTCCCATAAAGGGAATAATCTATTACCGTAGTACTCATGGTAAGACCTGGACCCGGGACCGATTTATTTTTTCGTTTTGAGGTCCCCAGAGGCCAAAAACACCTTCCGTTCAAATTCATACAATACTCGAGCAAAAATGATCCGATTTAGATGAAATTTGATATAAACGTGTAAACCTACATTTATTCTAACGAGTTCGCGAACCAGCATGATCGGACTATGGGAACGGGGGTTTATGGGGTAAAAATAGGGTTTTCCCATTTTTGACCCTAAAACATAAAATTTAGCAACTTCTTTCCAAACCATTTTGTAGAGTAAAAAAAAAAAACAAATAATTTTGTATATTGAAGCGTTTTATGCGCCTAATGGCTACGGAGAAAATTCCCATGTTATTCTTATGGAGAATAAGTAAACTGTTGTAGTTCGCTTGTTAATGAACATATTTCGAACAAATTTGAAAAATGCATTTATTCCATACCACACTATTAACAAAAAAAAACACACTTTTTTACCCTCCCTGTTGCAGCAAACCTAAGTACTCGTTAAACTAATTCTATTTAAATAGGGAATAAACGTGACATTTTTAAGGACGCATTTTAGTGTAAATCCAATCAGGCAAAATGGAATTTCGCTTAGTCTGCAGGTTTGCTGCGGCGGGGGTTTTTACTTTATTATATTGATGCCAAATAAATTAAACTTTTCAGAACCATGGGGGCGCTTTTCCACATGATTAAAGGGAGTCTTGGCTCCGGTATCCTCTCCATGCCAATGGCCTTCAGGGACGCGGGCCTCTGGGTCGGACTCATCGGAGCAATCCTCATAGGAATGCTGTGTACACACTGTGTGCATATACTGGTTAGTTTACTTAAAAGTACATTGAAAATAATCTCTTAGATCTATCCTCAGATTTGGTGAAGATTTTTAGGCTTGTTCTTGGTTTTATGGTTAACTATTTTATTTTTGTTAAGCCAAACTTTAAAATGTTTTAACTGAAAAGAATCCATTTGTAGACCATTTTTGTCCCATTAATTAAACCAAATAGATGGATAAATAACAATGCTTTATTTTACAACTTTACAAAGTTACAAATTGTATTTTTAGGCACATAAGACAATGGTCATTTGACCGTCTGTCTGGTTTGCAAAATCCACTTCCACTATATAATTACAAACAACACTGCGCCATTATGCACTCATATAAAAGGTAGCAAACATAAAAGGTCAAACTCACTTAAAGCTAAAATAAAATTCAAAATTTACTTTCATTACTATTTTTTAGTACTTAAGGAATTTTTTAAGCTATTACTACGCTTACATATCCACACATACGAATATACACACAGTACATGTGATACCTAGGCTATACTAAACTATACATACAGTACACACATACAGACATACACTCTATATTCTATATTTCTATATAACATACAAACATATTTTAACATACAGTTTGAAAATTAAACCAAAAATTTCCTTATAAAGTTAACAGTAAATGATAATTCTTGGAGATTAAAAATATCATGATCCTACAGGTTTAAACTTACAAATTTCTAATTAGTTTAATTCTGGGTGGACCGATGCTTCGAGGTGGCTTGCTTCGGCAAAAACTCAAACAAACAAACCCATAACCAAATAGTAAAGCAATTTTAAAATATACTCCAAAATAAATTAGACAATTTATTTTAATCGACATAGGCGCGATCAATCAAATGTTTAGTCCTCTGTAGGTTTTGATAGTAGGTCTAACCACGATTACTAGGGTCTAACCAGTGCCAGGGCTATGACCTTGCTATCCTTGCATTTTGTAATTTATTTATTTGTTCAGACCTATGTTATTTGTTTATATCTAGTCAAATGGAATATAACGCCTTGGTTATTTACTATTTACTTTGCTATACATTTATTTTAATAATTTTTTCTTCAACCATGTTTTAAGAAAGGCTGGAATCTTCAACAAGGACACATAATTAATGTATGCTCTAAATTTGACCTTTCATGTACAAATTTTACGATACAGTACCAATAAAATCTTATGTCAAACCAACAAAACCGTTTGAAGGTTCGTTATTTCAGAATATATAATTTTTTGTTAGATAATTAGAAAAGACTGTTAAAAAAGTGACGAAGTTTGGGCACCTCTTGTAAGAAGTAGCTCGTCACTACCACTAGTCATATATTCGGTACTCGGTAAATGTCGCGCATGGGCCATTTCATTTTAGTAGATGAAATTATGACCAAAACAGCTCTTTTGTCAACTGCCACAGTTAATCTGTTTTACAACACTAAACATATTTACGATCTATTTTAAATGTTGAATAATCGTTTACCACAAACAGTTGAAGCCTTGATTTTGGGGGGTAATAATTTAATTAAAACCTAGAATCTGATGGATTTTTTATGTAAAATATTGATTTCCCTCTTTTACCTTAATACATTTTGAAATACTCAAAACTATGCACATCAACAACACTTCACCTTAAATATAATATATAATCTAAGAATAAAAAACTGTATCACATCCTAATTTATGGTAAATCAAGTTACTTGTTACTATTTACTTACCTCTTGAAAAGCTAGTCTTGAGATAACAGAAATCATTGAGATATGATTGTGTGGATTTAGAAAAATCTGTTGAATAGTATTCATTGCAGAGAATATTAGCTTTAAATTTAACACAAGCAAAAGACTTGATGCACTCTCATGGACCATAAATAAATTTGGTAAATTAAATTTGTTCAATTAAATGGAATTAAATTAATTTAATTTTGTTTTCGTTATACAACTTTGTCGTATTTGATTTTTTACAGCTGTGCTTAGATTTGCCTACTCTGTAGAGGAATTTGGGCAAAATACTAATTTTGTTTAGTACATAGGCCTACTGCTCGAATATGAACTGTACCCTTTGCTTAAGTCAGGACAAATATGTCAGTCAACAAAAAGCAAACATTGATAAAAAACAATGAGTATTTGGTAATTTAAAGATAAGCTAGTTTAAATGTCTGATATCCTACTATGAACTAGATAAGTTGAGGATTTATACCCTCTTCAATGTCCATATTTAACGATCTTCGTTATTGTTGTTAGCCTGGACTTAGATATCAAACCAAAAGATTATAGGGTCATTGCACCAGTGAATGACCAGCCCCCAGTGAATGACCGTTTTGTATAAAAAAAAACATTATTATTACTAAGCTTTTTGTTTGGCCTAGTCCATTACTAGGTCTTGAAGTTAACTTTGGATCCTGATACGAATCTACCCTATGGCACTGGTTAAAAAAGAATGTGTCAATCATCCTATTATATGGAATGACAGTTGTCATGTTAAGGTACAATTTTGCACTCATTTGAAGGTAAAAATACTAAACAAATAATAGTTTACGCAACGATCGTGTAGAAATAGTACTAACGACACGAGTAGAAAATTTAAGATACACGAGCCTTGGCAAGTGCCTTAACAACTTCTACGAGTGTCGTAAACACTATGTACGCGAGTTGCGTACACTACTAACATACGACAGTGTTTGGTTTTTAACTAATAATCACTACTCATAACTTTTAAGAGAGGGTTTTTTTCGTTTATAACCTTTCATTGCCACTGACATTGATGCAACGACTCATTGTACTAATTACTAATTGCCCCAATCGTTAACAATATTGGTAAACAGCTGATTTGCTGGAGTTCGAAGCATTACAATTTTACTTCTTCTCTCTCAATCCTTGAACCTCGTTGGTACGTTACCCATGTTGTTAAGTAAATCTATGCTATTATGTATGTAAACAATGCTCTGAAACTTCATTGAACTGAACTGAAACGGCTACTTAAAAAACCTGTCGTAGGTAAAACTATTTATGTTATGATCTCATTATTTGATACTCACTTTTAATTGTCATGGGATTTATTTGTATTAACATTAACATAAAACATAATGAGTTTACACATTGCGACACCCGCCGGCTGTCCGAAAAACCCGCTTCACTAATATATATAAAATACCGAGCATGCTACAAAAACAAATAAAAATATACATATCTAATTTAAAGGCCTATTGCTAAAAACTGTTCCTTTAACGTGATAAAATTACAGAGCGTAAAATAGAAAAGGAAAATTGAAAAAATATACCACCATTTTTTTTTTTACAAATCTTAGTAGGTAAGCTGAAATTTTCACAAAATATTTTCTATACCTATTTTATAAGCTGTATGAATTGTCAGAGCTTTCAGTGCATAAATGGGGAAGTAATATTAAATCAAAAGATTAAACCTCATTGTAGGACACCCTATAAATACGCATGTATATGGTAGTAATCAATACATGTACTGGTTGCAGGTGATGTGTTCTCAAGTATTATCAAAGAGGATTAAGCGACCCAGTCTAGGGTTCGCAGAAACTACAGAAGCTGCCTTTTCCACAGGTCCTGTCATGTTTAGGCGGTACGCAGGAGTGGCCAGGTAATAAAGTACGTTTAAATAAAGAATTTAATTGTATTTTTTTAGTATTAGCCATATTTTATAGGTTCATCATATTGACATAATATTTTTTCTAGGGAGGTGGTAAATGTGTCTCTTATTTTGTCCTACTACCTTGGCACAACTGTCTACATAGTATTCATTGCTGCTTCATTCAAACAGGTCAGTACCCTTGATCAATATCAATGTGCAACTGTTATGCTTCTCCAGAAAGAACTAAGGTTCAGAGAAAAACCTAATTGCTTATGTGATATCCGTCGTCCGTGCCATTTTAGCTTTAGTATGTTGTACCAGAAATATATACTTGTGACGAGCAAGTAAGAGCCAGAGAAACGAGCACTGTGCAGGAATTCCGTAACAGGGCACAGGGTCTTCCTCCACCATGAGTGTTGTGGTACATGAGGGCGATGGGTGCGGTGCGAGACTTAGCACTAGACACCAGCAACTATTTCCTCTAGAGACCAATTAAGTGTGCAGTAAAACCTCACTAACTCAACAATTTTTTGGACTCAGAGGTTGTCGAGTTATCCATGGGTTTTAATTAATGAATAGAAAACAGACTAATTTTTACATACTTGTATTACTTACATGCATATTTTAAAACATTGAAAAAAAAATTAAAACCAAACTGTTCAATTATGAACCAGTGATACAATTTTCTTTAGATTATTAATTATTGATCTAAGAAACGTTGGACGTTAGATTGCAACCAGTGTTTAGACTGTTCCATAAAAAATTAAAAAGATGAATGTCAAGGAATTATAACACAAATAAAAATAAGATACAAACCACATATGTATTGTGGAAAATCACAGATCATGCTGCTTGTTATCAAGGATACATTGACAATTATGAATATAATCTATTTTATACTCTTATATTCTTATATAGTGACCATTTAACATTGTTCCTCAGGTAGTAGATAGTGCCATGCAAGTGGATCTCAACATTAGGCTGTACATTCTCATGGTGATGGTGGTGATTGTTCCCATCGGTAGTATTCGTCACCTCAAGTATCTAGTGCCGTTCTCATTCTTCGCCCTCCTCTGCCTCATCTTCGGCTGTGGTTTCGTCCTCTATGATGTCTTCACGGACCTTCCACCACTCAGCTCCAGGCCGTTCTTCAGTTCGTGGAAGCAATTGCCACTGTTCTACGCCACGATGTGCTTCTCTATCGAGGGGATTGGAACGGTAAGTAATTAGCAAAAATATTCACGCATAACTATCAATGAGATACACTTCTTTTTAGAAAAAAGCACTTGGCTAAAGAATATAAAAAAGAAGAAGGAATGGATACAAGACAAACTTAAATGAGAAGGAGAAAAGAGTTCCACAGAGAAAGTAAGGTACAGTACAGAGGAAACTTATGGAATGACCGTATGTCGTCAGCTCTAGTATGTTGTGCAGGAAATATACTTGTGTTTAGCAAGGAAGAGCCCAAACAGCGAGAACTGTGCGGAAATTCCTATCACACAGGGGATAGGGTCTTCCTTCACTTTGAGCGTTGTATTAAATGATGGCTGGGAGGGGTGTTGTACTAGTGCTAGACAGCTTAAGTGTACCATTGAATGTTTCCTCTCTACCTTAACTCTCTGTGTTTACTGGTAGTTAAAAGCACACAGAAAGTTCTTCATACAATATACTTGATATTTGCCCCAACAAGGAGCTCCTTCAGAAGAAAGAAGTTCTGGGGATTCCCTCTCGGAAGTAGTGGGAGAAATATAAAGTTAATTATATTGTGAATTTTATTTGTGTGCCTTTAACTACCTGGAACAATTTTCTTACTGTAAGTTACTTGTACAACCATTCCTTCTTCCTTTATTTAACGGTGAGTTAATGATTTTTTTACCTGTTATCTTTTATTTTATGTTCTTTGAAGGTTGAACTAGACGTCAGTTTAAGGTAATTGCAGCTAATTAGTATTCTAACAGGAGTTTAAAGATAAAATCTTCATTATTTTCAAAAGGAGAGAAGTTTGCAAATTATTTTATAACCTCCAACATCTGACTTACTGTTTGCTTGGATATTTGATCGAGTTAAAAAAGAGAAGTTAATAAAAGGTCAGAGCAGTAACAAGTATCCTTCCTTTAATGAAAACTAACTTAAAGCTGATTTAGTTTTTCAACCATTCTGCAAAGGAAATATGTTCTAATTTCTATGATTTCCGAAACTAATCAGCTAAAAACGGGTTTTCAGGTGCTTCCTATAGAAAATGCCATGAAGAAACCCAAGCACTTCCTGTCGTGTCCGTGGGTGCTGAATGTAGCCATGACGTGGCTTGTACTCATGTACTCTATGGTGGGGTTCTTCGGCTACCTCAGATACGGAGAGGCCACGGAGGGCAGTGTGACCCTTAACCTTGGACATACATTGTGAGTTGTCTACATTTACCTTTTTCTCACTGTTTAATCCTGCATATTGAATGTAACTGATATTTTTTGTAAACCGTGGTTTAATTTCGGTCAGATAATAGCATTTTTTGTTTCAGAAGGAAATTGCATCAATACTATGTGTGATGCAATTTTTAATTTATAAAACAAAAAGATTACATTATCCAACCACAGTTGTTGGTATGGACTAGTTTCGTTCCTTGGAACTTCGTCAGGTCGTTTTGTATAACAAATAACATCATCAATGTATTAATACAATGTGGTACTGTATGTCGATAGATTCTTTATAAGACTGCCACAATCACAATAATTAAAACCTGTCATGTTGATAAAATAATTAAACTGGAATAAAAATTGAGAAAACTGATTAAAACTGTAGAGGCTGGCCAGCACTGTTTTTTCAATGCCACTGACTAAATAAAACTGACTGAATCATTATATTTCTTCTTCTCTCTGGTGCCACCTGTATTTCAGTTTGTTTAGTTCTTATTTTATACTTCTTTGATTTGTAGCTTGTCAATATTTATGTATCAAATTCAAATATAATATTATAGTTCTAAGGAATGAAACTAGTCGTCATACCTTAGCAACTGTAGACCATGAGCCACCAATATGAAACCCTCCCCCCCCCCGTGGGAATTTATGACTTATACTTTTTTTTGTTGGTATTACCTACCAGATTAAGAATTCAGTTGTTTGCCTCTTTTAAATTACAGCGTATTCCGGAAAATAAAGAAAAACTGTTAAATTTAAAAACTGTTTTATTTAAATTACAAAAGGGTAGCCTGCGTTAATTACTGGTGCAATATTTTTTTATGGACTTCTTTAGTATGTATTCAAAGGCTTTAAATGAAAGAAAAAGTTAATAAAATACCCCCGCTGCAGCAAACCTGCAGGCAATGCGGATTTCAAATTGGCCTGAATTGATTTTCAATTAAATCTATTTAAATAACATTAGATTTAACGAGTACCTCTAGGAAAGAGATTTTAAGAGATTCTATTTAAATTAAATAAATTTTATTGAGAAATTTTAGACGTAATTTTTACTGGAATGTAAGGTTCCAGTAAAATTAACGTCTAAAACTTCGTTTTCCTCATATCAAAATCGGATTTGCGACAGTAATTTTCTTGTTTAAATCTCTTTAAAATAATGTGCTGATTGATATGGGTTGCCTTTAAAAAAATTTAAGTTACTCTTAGCAACCCTGTTTGTGGGTGGGGGGTGAATTTCAAAATATCACCAAAAAGAACCTTACATTACCCTAAAAACGTGTATTGAAGCTTGTTTGAATTTATGCATATTTGTGCTGAGACCATTCATTATTTAGCAGGTTAACCCGTTGTTCCTTACTTTTACCATTAGCTAGGATTTTTTTCCAATCCCGTGGGATCTTGATTTTGGACCTCTCATTAAAAACGTTTCTCCAAATCCCCTTCTCTTTTTCAATGTTTTTAATAGATACATCTAAATTGGTATCCGTAATAAAGTATATCCTGCTGAATTTCGGAAAACGGCTGAAGGCAATCTGTGTTAGTTCACCAGAGGTTTCTGAAATATTAGTAAGAACCTAAAAGTAAGCCATACCGTCAATTACATACATACATTCTTCTATCTTGGGAGGTTCGTCTATACCCTTGTTCTCCAAAGCATGGAGCAGTTTGGCCTTTTCTGTTTTGGTTGGGCATCCATCGGTAGTGTTTAATGCCCATGGTCCTGGATCTAATGGGTATGTCATCAGCTTCTCAAGGTTAATATCACTTTCCTGGGACAGCAGTAAAACTCCAGAAACATATTTCTTTTAGCTCATATCTCAACTAATCTGTTTGCATGCAGCTTTCCCTAGATTATCTACATTAAATAAATTGTCTTCCACCGATTCGGGTACAGGTCTTCCAGGTGATAAACAGACCATCTAGTAATTCTGACCCCGGTTTTCAACTTCAAGCAGAATAATGCATTGTTCAAAAGCATCAAGTACAGTACTTGCAAAATACTTTGTTCACTTCGTTTCATTTCATTTGCTTGCATGTCACTGAGAACAATCTGATGACTTCACCATACTTGCATTTTAAAATTCTAACTTGCTGTGGGCCCGTCCTACGCACAGGAATCAACTAATCAAATCAAATCAAACTAAAAAATCTATACTAAAAGACCCATGCTGCACTGCGGCGTTAAAATAAATATCATATCCGAGAAATAATCAAATTTATTATTTTTGATTGTGTAATACAGTATCTTAAACTTAACTGATTCAAACGATCAATAGCTCAAATTAAAGCCTATAATTGACTGATTATTTTGAGTCTAAAACATATAAAAAAACGTAAACAATACTGGAGCTATTGATATTCAATCATAGAAAAACCTTATAATTTTTTTTTATGTTGGATGTTCACCTTGCGTTTGCTTGAAAACCGTCCGATTTGAATAACTAATATCTTAAATGCAAGCCGGTATTTCACTGAAGGTTCTTAGACCAAAATATATAGGGTTATATAATTACAAATGGTAAAATACTGTACAATTTAAATTGAAATACGAATTAAAAAATATATCAAACCTATGTTTTTTGGTCGAGTAATAAAGTAGATAAATATACGATGATGCTTGATGTGAAATATATGTGTGCATACTACCAATTTAAGACCTCAATCATGAAGATCGGACGTGTAGAAGAGCCAAAGAAACTCGGAAAAGAAAAAAAAAACAAATTTAACTTCCTTTAGAAATACATGGGAGGTAAATTTAATTTACGTATAAGCCGAGTGGGACTGTCGATAAATATATACTGATGCTTGATGTGAAATCTGTGCGTGCATACCTTCAATTTGATACCTCAATAATGAAAATCGGGTGGGTAGAAGCGCCAAACGAACTCGGAAAAGAAAAACCAAATTTAACTCCCATAAGAAATACATGGGAAAAAATGTTGTTTACGTATAAGCCGAGTGGGACTGTAGGCAACTATATGCCGATGCTTGATGTGAAATCTGTGCGTTAATACCTTCAATTTGAGACCTCAATCATGAAAATTGGTCGGGTTGTAGAGCCAAACGAACTCGCTAAAGAAAAACCATTTTTTTAAATATATATATTCATGATATTTTCGTGTTTTCCAGAACATGCTGTAATTCACAAGTGGCAAACACCTAAAACCTTAAAGTACATGTCAATACAAAACAAAAAATGTTTATGTCGAAAATTCCCACCGGGGGGGGAGGGGGGGTAAACGCCAGCCTCCGCTCTACTGTGGTTGGATAAGGTAATCATTTTATTTTACCAGTGATATATTCCAACCAAGGGTCAAAATGAATAATATAAATTTTTAGTAGCAGATACAAAATATATTTTATTTAGATTTTGAAAAAATCCCCCACTACTGTATAAAAAGTTTTTAAGACTTCTTTTAACGGTCCAGCGTAACAGTGCAATTCCACTCTATCAGAATTTGATTGTTTGTTTTTCCTGTTTAATTCATCACTTTTTATATGTGCTCCTTGGTGCTAAATAAAAATATTGAAAATACAAATGTCATTTAAACAAAATGTTTTTCAATTTTCAGCATGGGTGAAATGGTAAAGATCCTGGTGGCACTGAATGTATGCTGCTCGTACGGACTCATCTTCTGTGTTCCCAGCGAGAGTATGTGGAAATACGTTGAACCATTGGTCAAAGAGGAGAATAAAACTCGCTCTTACTATACTATGAGGCTACTGCTTATATTGGGCACAGGTAAGTTGAACTTGCGCAAAAGTTTAGATTTATTTGACAAAAAAAATTTCTAATTCTACCAGTGTGCTTCCCTGGATATTTTTTTATCTTTTATATTATGCTGAGGATTCATTTTGTGAATTCACCATATAGGGAATGGGAAGATGGTACATTATTACCCTAGGTCTAAACGTACTTCCTCTACCACACTACTAAACCGTAGCCATACACTCTTCTAGCCTGTGAAACTAAAATCTATACATTGCTACAATTGATTTATCTGTTACATTGCAACATTACAACTTCTATCTTTCTCCAGTGGCTCTAGCCACAGCCCTGCCAGACCTGGAGCCAGCCATAGGTCTGGTAGGGACCATCTGCTACTCCACCCTGGGTCTGCTCTTCCCGTCCCTCCTGGAGCTCATCACATTCTGGGACGACCCGGTGTACATGGGTCGGTGGCGCTGGAGGTACTACAAGGACTTCCTGCTGAGCATTGCGTGGTTGGTAGCCCTGGTGGCCGGCCTGCAGGCTAGCATAGCTAAGGTTGTAGAGATCTACTGGAATTGAGGTAGCGGGAATTGTTGGAGAAGGAAAAATGGAGTGGAAAGTTGGTAACCCTTGTGTAAATTCCAATGAATAACTATTGATAAAAATAGACATCGCATTTCTGTGTTAAATTTGTTACCAGATTGACAAAAAATGAAATATTTTGAATTGAGCCAACAGAATGCACAGGAATTAATGATTTCTTTCAAAAACACCAACTTATTAACTAAATACTTAGTCAACAAATTATATTTTAACTACTGTGTATGCATAAAAGATTAAATTTAATTTAAGCCTTGTGATAAATTAGTCGCTTTTACAATATTGTGTTTGGTTGGTAAATTTGATAAAGGATGGTTTTATGTTATATGACTTTTTAAAGATATAAAAATGTTAAACCCATTTGACAAGTTAACATAAATCGTAATACTACCTTAGACGGTTTTATTTATAGCAAAATGCTTTTGTACAATCTATGTCTTGTGTATTAGTGTATTAGTATCAGTCTAGTATTAGTGATGTGATATTAACTGTAAAGCTGTAAAGCCTCAAAAGTAGTTTATGTATGGCAAAATTTGTTATCGAGATTGTAAATATTATGTATATAAACATTGTTGTTATAATTACTTTATGAAACTTCATATAAAATGCTATTAAATGTTAGTTTTTATGCAATTATTTCAACAATATTTATCCTTTAATGGTTTTCTGGTCTCCTCTCTCCACAGTAGTTATAGCATGTTTAGTTTCTATTCCACACATAGTTTCTTATTTGATTCCTTGTACAGAACCGGTGTGGCAGTGTAATGTAAAAACACTGTAATTGGACTTTTTGTATGTTTACACATTGTAAAAGACTCGATTTTCATTCATAAATTAGCATATGATTTACAAACTATTCTATTGTTTGAACAACACTCCACCTATTTTTCAAAATTTTTGGATCCTGTATATGGTGTAATTGACCTATTACCTTGTTATGTCATAATTAGTACATACACACACATTCGATAAAAGGGTTTGCTTGAAGACCAATACTAGCTAAATAACAGTTTTGAGTGAATAAGGGGGAGACTTTAACAGTTAATTTCTTTGGTAATTGAAATTTTGGATGCAAAAATTTAATTTGAAGTTAAGTGCTGTATTTTATGCATATGTGAGTTACATTTCATCACAAACTGTGCCCTTGATGGCTAGACGAACCGGAGACATGAACACCCTGAAGTTGACATTTTCTGGGTTTAGATTTCCAAAAAAGAACTCTGGGAGGGGAGAACTTATGACCCATAGATTGCCCTTTTTATCCACTTTGAGGTCATTGGGGAACACCATCGTTTCCTCGTCCTGGGCGATAATACCAATACTTTTGTCTTCATACTCATCTCCCCTGCAAATAATGAAATTGACATTATAAACACAAGTTTAAACTAACTTAAATGTTTATCATGGGTGTTGCAACAAACTAATTTAACAAGTTAACAAGACAAAAATCACTAGTGTTCGGTACTTTTTTTAAATTCCCTAGATTGGTGCTACCCTAACCTTGCCCAATGTTATCTACGGCGAATCGTCCCCACTCCGACTACTGGAAACACTCCTCACTAGCATTGCCAACGGCGTCATGGGCAGATGTCCGCTACATTTACCTACATAATTTCACATAGACAATCAATCTCATTAATTCAATTAGTTTCATTTTGTCAGTTTTAAGTTTTTTCAATATACCAGTAATTTTTAACTTCACCAGTGCTAGTCATTTCCCTTGTTGTTGCCCCCGCACCATTGGTCTACACCGCTGCTGTCTACACCGCTTCCCTCCCCTGGACTACCCACTACCTTGGACGAGACGGACATCATCCACCCATGAGACATCCGACAAGGTAACGTAGCACCAGCATTAATTTTGTTTTGTTCAAACCGCCGTACGGCTTTCAAAGAAAGACCGTACAACTACAACTAGAATCAGAATATATATATTTTTATGTTTTCAACAGACTCAAGCCTTTCTGACTGTATGTTTAAATATGCACTAATTTTACAAAATCAAATTGAGCTTACTTGAACGAGTTCCAACATCCAACAGCATTCTTGGTGACCAGAGTGAAGAACAGAACTCCCGTCTCTTCATCCAAGAACTCTGCTGAACTTTGGCCTCCCATGCCTCGGTTGCCAAGAACCTGAATAGGATCATCATAGCAAAATGTCAGTGTGTTTGACTATGATTCCTAGAATGGTATATTGTGAACAACTTTAATTATAGGAAAGAACCCAAAGAGGTTGAACAGATTAATTTCAATTGAGATAGTTAGCCCTCTCCTCTTCAAAATTGTTATGAAGAATAAAGAATAAGACAAATATAACTACCCATTAATTATCTAACACCAATGATAATTCTGTTGAGAGCATGCTTCTCAAAATATATCCGACTCTTTATATTATCATGATATGAACTTTTAAGACAAAAATATATTTTACTACCTTTATTAAATGGTTCCAGAATTATTCACTTCTTATTTTGAACATGATTCAACTGTATAATTTTAGTACTATTCGAAGGTGGTAAAATCTGTTTTATGGGCTACAAAATTCTCCATTGACAAAAAAAAAAAAAAAAAAAATTAAATACAGCCTGTAGGATAGCTACAAGATAAAGCATCTTGCACCATTTAAGTTTGAAGGATCTGAGTTGCATCCTTAAAATAATATCATTGGAAAAATAACTATTATTGATTCCTGATTCCTTCTTGGTACCTATGTAAGCAGTAAGCACACGCCTAATACAAAGATATTGTGATCTCCTTGAGGTTACAGCTCCGAAGAGAGAGGTGTGAGAAGGTCTTATCATGAGTTTCATCTCTCTTTACACTTTTTTTGTTCCTTCTATCCTCAATACCAATCTCACAACAAATTAAGTGTTGTGATTATTTCTCTGCAGTGTGTGTGTACTTTTATCACACCATAACATAACTATGGGTACTACACTAAACTATAGCCTGCTTCTAATATTATGAAATGACCAAAGTATACTTTTTGTTGACATTCTAATGACCTTGAATGCACTGAAGTCCTGAGCCGCGCTGTCAGAACTCATCATGCTGGAGTTTTGCAGATGTTTGGAAGCAACAACAAACTCCATGGTAGAGGCAAGTGCGTGGAAATAGACAAGACGATACCCCTCTCTATCTACCGGGGATAATGCTAAGTTGAATATACCGTCCTGAAACAATCAACACATTTTAAATTAAGAATTTAATGAAATATTAATATTTTCATACAGAGCTGATTGATATAAACAGAATTTTATATTATAGCTTAATTAAGCTTAGTCTGTTCTCTAATCAATGGCGGGTTTCTAACTTTTTTCTAAGGTCTTGGTAGATATTAAAGAACCTATTTTTATCTGCATTCTTATCCCAATTTTAAATGGGTAAGGTAACCAATACCAAGTGTATAGATGGAATAGTTAGAAAGTGATATTTCTAAAGATATAATATATCCTTAATGATATAACAGAATACTACAGCGCTATCAGCGGAGCCCAGCCTTGGGCATGTGTGAAAAGTGAATAGTGCTTTGGCAAAACCCACAAAAAATCATCACGATTGCTGTCACAATATTGAGAGATGATGTCGGATGTTGCGGCGATATCAATAAATTATCACCCTATGAGTATGAGCAAAAATTTGGTATTTTGGGTTGGGAAAGATTTTTAATAGTAAGGGTGTTCAGCGAATGTTTGCACAGAGCCTGCACTACCTAAGGTCGACTCTAGCTATCAGTGTCACCTGCCACTGCCAGTGGAATTTGCCGCTGGAGAAGTCCCCGGAGAGAGGGTCGAAGTGGAAGTAGTTGTGAGTGACCAGATGCGTCTCATTGGTCTGCAGACTGTAGACGACCAGGTTGTAGTTGTAGACGTCGGGCAGATAGACATGAGCGTGGTCACAGTTGGCCGAGGTTACGTCTACAGTGATGGAAGGAAACAGAGACTTCTCGTTGTACTCTTTGTCCTTCAGCGAGTACGAGAACAGCAGCGAGTCTGACTGGAGAAAATGTTTTTAAAGTTTCAGTTGGGATTATAGGGATAATTTAATCAACTAAAATATGTTTTGAGTAAAGTTGAATTCTGAAAAAAGTCACTGTTCTGGAACCGGCTGTTCATTAGTGGATTTTAAAACAGATTTAGGACATAATCCAGAACTTGTGGGGGAGCTTGGATAGTGTTAGAGCACAGAACGTTGGTCCCTGAGGTTCTGGGTTTAAATCCTTCCAACCACCAACGAATGTTCTAAGTAATAATGCCACAACCCTCTAGGTCTAGCCTCTGAAGTAACAAGTATGAACAGTTATAGCCAGCAAAAAAACAAAACAAAAGCTCTCACTAGGCATGTAAAAAGTTAAATTTTAATCTACTAAAGAATCTAGTAGTGCTGCTGTCACTGGCTGGCTTGGATATTTTAGTAAACCTTCAATCAGATACATTAAAATTTGCTTAGTCTCCAAGTTTGCTGCAGCAGGGGTTGTATTTGAGATTTACCTACCTTCAGATCGTAAATCATCAGTTTAGGAGGTCCCAGCTGTTTGTTGTTCTCTATAACAGCTGAGTCCATCACCCAGAGTCTGTCACAGGCGTCTGCTCTGACTCTCACTACAGATGTTAACTTGGGTGGCCAAGCCTGTAACACCGTGCTTGCAAACAGTCATTATAGCCTCTGCTTTTTTTAGAATTGCCATATTATTATATGTTAAAACTACAGCAGTAATCTAAAGCTAGAATATATAATGTACAGTGTAAGTAAATACCAAATTTTATATCTGTACTTTTAAAGCCACCCCCCCATTATTAAAGTAGTACCTACCAAACAAATAGGAAGAACAAAAGAAAATCATTTAGCCTATACTTTTAATATTTTATTACAAATGTATAATTAGTAGGTGTACCATTTTAAAACATGTTATATTAGAATTTTAAAATATCAGGGTATTTTGGGGGTCACCTGGATAACTTTTGTAATTTTAAAATTAATTAAAATCCAATCACTTTCTCTGTTAGTTACAATGAAATTAACAAAAATAAGTTATAAAAAATAAACTAACCTTTGCTTCACCGCCCAATGTGTTGGCTTCCAAGTTTGGGTAAGGTATAAGAGGTGGAGAAGTAAAGTTTTTGATATCTAGAGAGAAAAACACATAACATAAAATAATCGTCATTGGTTTGAGGAAAAAGTAAATAAAATTTTCATGACTTGAAGAGGTATAAATTGAATCATCTAAATTGGTGAACAGGATGGGTTAGTGCATTAGAACCCTAAGCACCATTTTTTTGTTATTTTCTACATGTATGTAAAAAAATGCTGTTAGATCTAATCTTACTAATATTATAAATGTGAAAGTTTGTGTGTTTGTTTGTTTGTTTGTTTGTGTGTTTGAAGTTCAATCACGCATAAGCCACAGGACAGATTGGGCTGAAATTTGGCATGATGATAGCTTACATTCCCGATTAACATATAGGCATATTCTTATCTCAAAAATCCTTTCGGGCTCCGCCCCAGTGGCTCTATAATCCCCCATGTTAACCTTATGGAATTCATATTTAAAGGGAATTAAGGAATTTAGTCAGCTGTTTCAACTAAAAAAGTTGGTTCTATGATATGGAAAAGCATTAAAAAGTTATAAGATTTACCAACAGGGTGCAGCACTATATTTTTTTGCATTTATGAAAACAGCTAATTTGAACTAAGCAGCAACAAAAAACTGTGATTCGCAATGAGAACTGTCAAAGTAGGATTGTTTACAGTTATGTTTATTTTTTCATTTCATGAATAATTTGTGATATTTTGCGCATTGTTGATAATTTATTTTTCTCTATTGTTTAGGTGAAGTGTTAGAACATTATGGCTATGGTAGATGTGTAATACTACAGAATACTGTAAATTAAAAAAAAAAAAAAATTTTATCAAACTGTGTCCTCCCTTTTATTGCAAACGCAAAGCTTGAGTATGACTGCAATACGCATTTTATACTTATATTCCAACCCCGTACGAAGGACGGGTACTCTGCTAGTTGAATATATATTTAGAGTAGGGAAAGAGTGGTAGGGAAGTTGTCTGTCTCTCTCACGTACTCTCCCATATACCATCATAATTGACACAAACTTATATTAATCTTCAAAAATAGCTACCGGTATCAGTCATTTTTGGAACTGATAAAGGTATTGCAAAACCAAATATTTTATATATTACAGTTCCAGGGCTATAACAA